TGTTTCGGTCAAGGAAATAATATTATAATTGCAGTAAAAACCTTTTAAATATAAGTTAGTTAATTTGGTATTCAAACCTCTAACGTTTTGATAGTAAATACTTAAATTAGACTTGCGAGTTAGTTGTTTGAATCCGAATTAAGATTAGAAATTTTATCTACGTTGTTATTACTTTTATTAGGTTTATACTCAAACTCGCGAACAAACGCCCCGGTCGGCCAAAATTAATTATTTAGTAGTGAATCAAAATCTTCGGAAGCTACATCAATTTTAAAAGATGAAATATCGCGATCGTATTTAAAATTAAATTTACGAATACATCTTTAGTTCTAATTTTAGTCGATATGTATAACTTTATATCATCCGAAGAAGTATCTTTAGCAAATCTAGAGACAAAGATTGATCTTCTCGGAAGAATTACAACCAACTTAATGATGTCTGATGTGCGGGCTCCGAATTATTCGGATGAACTAAGTTAGACAGTGCAGCTTCAGATGTTGATGGCAACACTGTTAAATCCACGGCTTGACTATTTTTAGATGTAGACCTAGTGGATATGGCTTTAGATAGCGGAGGCTCCAATGCCTGAGGGCATGGAGAAGAAAGATTAATAAGTTCCAAGGACTGGGATGGAGGATTTTTCTGACTAGATTCCGTGGCTGTCTTTTTAGGTGGACTAATAACACGCCTACCTTTATTTTCTCGGCTATCCTCAGAGTGTGGAGGGTTGTCGAGACATGTGAAAGACCTAAACATTTTTTCGTAATGCTTAAATTTCTCAACAAGCACCGACAGATCCTTCCCGATCTCAGAAAAACCATTTCGGGACTGCCTAAAGAATTTAAATAAATCAACTTCGGTTGATCTACATTTTTGACAAGACCAACCAAGACCCTTTCCCTCGTTAATAGCGCCTAATACCCTACCGCTCAAACCAGCACATTTTATATGGGCAATCCCATCGCAGAGCTAGCATGACACATAGGAGTCGCTTTTAACGTGGCAATTGGTGTAAATACACGACATGTTTAAAATTATATTTATTTTTAGGTTTTAGAAGCAAAACAGTTTTGAAAACGATGTATCAATCAGAGAACCAATCAGCTGGTAAATATCAGTTGCTATCCCGTACGAGTCCGCACTAGTCAGAATCAGTCCGATTTTACTGGAAATCGATCCCGTACTCGGTTCTCTGACTATTGAGAGGACAAAAAAGAGAGTAAATACGGTTCTCTCTTTGTCAGAAGTTACCAGTTTTAGTCCGAGAATTTTTTGCTGATAAATTCTGGTAAGTGTGTCAAACGATCAGCTGTAGTGTGTTTGGCAACCAAATTGTAAACAAAAGAAAAGTGCACTCTGCTAATTCATGTTGAAAAGTATTTAATTACTTGTTTAAGTGGATTCTAATGAATTTGAAAGTATTTTTGGTTATTTACAGGCTTACCTAATATTCACGTACGCCGCCAATTTACTGTCAAAAATTTCTCATGCACATACAACTTGTATGAGACCAACCGAAATTGAACGGCGTGCGTATGAAGCTAACTCAATTTCCAATTTTTGTTCTGCGTGACATTTTGATTTGACGTTTCGCTCAATGAAATCAAATGCAAACGCACGCAAGCCAATTTCGGGTGACGCAAAAAAACAAATTCGACGGCGTGCGTACCAAAACGCAAGCCGCGAATATTAGGTTAGCCTGTTACATGTGTGAACTGAGTGTGTTTACATACAAAATAAGCAAAAATTTACAACCAAAATTTGGAGGTTATGTTGAAGTTGACAGAAGTTACCATTTTTTACTAGAAAGCGATCCCGTACTTTTCAATGTTACTCTCTCGCTCTGAGCGAATTTTTATTTTTTGATAGTTTTACTAGTCCGAGTCCGAGGAATACGGGATTGCACCTATCAGTTGGAAAGCTATGTGGCGAACAGTTTTAAACATACTTGATGCTTTCCATTTCCAGACAACCGGTCAGGTACGAGCATGATTTTTAATTTCGACCAAACTCAAATACATTGTTTGTTGGTCCAAATAATGAGACACGTATTTTTTCTTTTGGCTCGGAAAAATTTTTCGGCCGAATTAAACACGATTTTGTTTTTCAGGCAAAAATCGATTATTCGAATTGACAGTGAGAATGTTTTTTTAAAATGCCCATAACTTTGTCAAAATTTAATAGATTCCAACAATGTTTTTACTCAAATGTCAGTAATTCTTGTCACTTCAAGATAGAATGATATAATTATTGATCTTCACTATTGTAAACACTGTATAAGAGTATATTAAGTATTGCTGAGTGTAAACTAGCTATAAGCATATCAATGTATCTATTTCGATAAGTTGAATAAATACAACTCTGGGGAGGCCATGAAATGAATGATGGGGGCACTTCCGGAAAAACCAGAAACCAAGACACACGCGAGTTATTATTTATCATCAATTATCTCCATTTAAACAGAAGATCGACCAAGTTTAAAACTTCAGGTGTGGAGAACGAGCCAGGAGGAAACAATTAAAAAGAGAATTTCGCGGAAATATGATGAATTCAAGGCAAGACATAATAAATGTTCTTAGTGACGCTCAGGTTGATTTTCCAACCTCTGCCACAACGGGACAGCTTCGTAATTTGCTACGGGCCGTTGTAGGTGGGCCAGTGCCAGGATCTGCCGAAGCAGGTGACATTGCCACAAACACTGATGCTGCTGTAAATACTGCTGTTGCCATAAATGCCGACACTGCCGCTGCCGAAAATTTCGACACTGCTGCTACTGTAAATGCCGCCGCTGTTGTAAATGCTGACACTGCCGCTGCCGTAAATGCCGATACTGACGTCTGCAACGATTTTGATAATGCCGGCTCCAACGCCGTCGTTGGAAACTCTGATTCTGCTGCCGCCGAATGCATGCCGGGATCGTTAGGGAACATAGACCAGGAGGTTATGGCCCTTCGCAAGCGCCTGGAAATGTTGCAGTTGATGCAACAAATTGAACAACTCGAAAGCCGCAAAGCCGCTGGAGGTCACCGTCGTCTGGATTTTGGCGAAATCGAGCACGCATTGCCAAAATTTAGTGGAGACGATGTGGCCTACCCCGTTAACCATTTTGTACGAGACTTCGAAGAAATTATGGAGTCAACGGGCGCTAACAACAATTTTAAGCTTCTCGCACTCCGTCGCTGTTTGACTGGTACGGCTCGGGTGTTTTTGACCACCACAGCAGCACTCGGTTACGACGCGCTAAAAGGAGCACTTGTAAAAGAGTTTGACTTTGCTGTAACCAGGCAAGAAATTTACAAGATGTTGGCACAGCGGAAGTGGAAGAAGAGGGACGAGACACTACACCGCTATGTGTTAAATATGCAGGCAATTGCAAAGCGGGCTAACATCGCAGAGGCAGAGGTGATTGATTTTGTAATCGACGGAATAGAGAATGCGGTACCAAACGTGCATTTATTGCTAACAGCGCGGACTATTGAAGAATTAAAAGTGCTCATTAGCCGCTACCAGAATAAATATTTTATGACTAACTCCCCGACAACTGTGGTTCAGAAGACACAGCAAGCTAACCAGCCACATAAAACCGAAGCAAAGGTACTGTGTTTTAATTGCTCCCAACACGGGCACATAAAGCCGAACTGCCCTTTCCCACATAGACCAGATGGTTCGTGCTTCAAGTGCTGGAAGATGGGGCACGATCACCGCGCTTGTCCAAATCCAAGAAAAGTGTTGAAGCGTAAAGACGAAGTTGCTGCCGTAGCTGACGAAGGAGTTGAAGACTTCACTGCCGTCGACGCCTATAATTATGTAAGCATAGAGTATAAGATAGGTAGTAAAGTAGTATCTAATCTAGTTTTTACTCTTTTTGATACCGGTAGTCCGATTAGCTTCATTCGGAAGTCAGACGTCCCAAAACACCTGACAAAAGGGAGAATGAGGGAAACTATATCTGGATACAAAGCGATTGGGGGAAACCCATTGAAAATTCTTGGAATTATTAAACTTAAAATAAAATTCAAAGAGAAAATAAATGTCGTTGAACTAAAAATAGTATCAGATGGATACATGTCGTTGCCAGTTATTTTGGGACGTGACTTTTTAGACCTGTATAATATAAAATTAGTTAACATTACTCCTGATCGAATTGATAAAAGAGAATCTCATGTAAGACCATATGCCGATGAAATAATTAATTTTGTAAGTGTCCTTAATACCAATGCCGCAATTGTCGAAGTCGGTAATGGAGGTGAGCCAAAAAGAGTTTCAAATCCTTGTGCTGACATACCAGATGTATTTTGTATAGATATAGCGCCTGATAGGGATTGTGTTGACATAGATCTGAGACTATTAAAAAATTGCCGTTTAGAACTGAAACAGATAATTGAGGACGCTTACCTAAACACAGATATTATGATAGAACCATACAAGTATGAAATGAAAATACACCTTACGACTGACGTTCCATTCCACTGTCCTCCACGACGACTTTCCTATTTAGAACGAAGTGAGGTGCAGTCAATAATAGACGAATTGCAAAAAGAAAATATAATTAGGCCTAGCAACTCTCCGTATGCTTCTGCAATTGTATTGGTGCGAAAGAGAAATGGAAAGGTTCGTATGTGCATCGACTACAGAGCTCTGAACAAGATAACAGTTAGAGATAACTACCCTCTGCCTTTGATTGATGACTGCATCGAATTTCTCGAAAACAAAAAGGTGTTTTCTATATTAGATTTGAAGAGTGGTTTTCACCAAATACAAATGGAGCCGGAATCTATTCCATATACTGCTTTCGTGACGCCAAATGGTCAATACGAATATCTCAAGATGCCGTTTGTATTAAAGAATGCGCCGGCTGTTTTCCAACGCTTTATTAATAACGTATTCCGTGATTTAATTGACAATCGGACGATTATTGTCTATATGGATGATATCCTTATTGCTAGCCGCGATTTTGAGGAACACAAAGCTTCATTAAAAGCAGTGCTAGAGCGACTATCTTTACGGGGACTAAAACTTAATCTTGATAAATCAAAATTTGGATACTCCGAAATATGCTACTTAGGTTATGAAGTGTCCCAATCAGGAATCAGACCGAATGGTTCACATATTAAAAGTATACGTAACTTTCCAATACCTACTAATCAGAAACAACTACAATCTTGTATAGGGCTGTTTTCATATTTTCGCCGTTTTGTGCCGTCCTTTTCCCAAATAGCTAAGCCACTTCAAAACCTTCTTAAGCGAAGCTCCGATTTTAATTTTGACGAAAATTGTCTCAATGCATTTAACGAACTGAAAGCTCGACTGTCTAATAGTCCAGTTCTAGCAATATATAACCGTGATAGAGAGACAGAATTACATTGCGACGCAAGCGCAATAGGGTTTGGGGCTGTCTTACTACAGCGGCAAGATGACAACAAATTTCATCCTATCTCGTATTTTTCGAAAACTGCATCAAGTGCCGAATCCAGGTACCATAGTTTCGAGCTCGAAACATTAGCAATTATTTACGCTTTAAGAAGATTTAGAACCTATTTGGAAGGTATGTCGTTCAAGATAATAACGGACTGCAACTCATTGGCTATGACTCTTGAAAAAAAAACAGTTGAATCCGAGAATTGCTAGGTGAGCACTCGAACTCGAGAACTACAATTATAGAATACAACATAGGAAAGGAGTTTCGATGGGGCATGTTGATGCCTTAAGTAGGGCACAGATCGCGTTAATTATAGATACCGATGAGGTGGAGTTTCAGATTCAAATAGCCCAGGAGAGGGATGATACTATTAGCTCTTTGAGGAGTCGTCTCACTGATGAAGCTGTCGAGGGTTTTGATTTAATAGATGGCCTTGTATATAAGATAAAACCTGTTGGAAAGAAAAGGTTGTATGTGCCTACCGAGATGGAGGCAAACGTAATACGAGTGATACATGAAAAAATGGGTCATCAATCCGTTGATAAGACAATTAGTAAACTAGCCATGTATTACTGGTTTCCCAATATGAGAACAAAGGTGGAAGTATTCATCAGAAATTGCTTGAAATGTTTAATGTATGCTAGCCCACCTCGAGCTAAAGACAGGAATTTACACGTAATACCAAAAGTTCCACTGCCATTTCATACGCTTCATATTGACCACTTCGGCCCATTGCCATCCATATATTCAAAGCGGAAGCACATATTAGTTGTAGTTGATGCCTTTACCAAGTTTGTAAAGTTGTACCCAACTAATTCCACTAGTACGCGAGAAGTTACTGCCGCCCTTGAGAAATATTTTTATTACTATAGCCGACCTAGACGAATTATTAGTGACCGAGGAACATGTTTCACCTCCCTAGAATTTAGCGATTTTATTTCCAAGCGGAATATAGATCATGTAAAGGTTGCCGTAGCTTCACCGCAAGCCAATGGGCAAGTTGAACGTGTAAACAGAATTCTTAAAACGATGTTAGGGAAGGTGACGGACCCTGTAAACCATGCCGACTGGTGTAAGAAGTTGTCGGAAGTTGAATACGCTGTGAATAATTCCGTGCATAGCACCTGTCGCGATACGCCTAGCCAGCTCTTATTCGGGGTGGAGCAAAGGGGAACTATTATCGACGAATTCACAGAATATTTCCAAGACAAGTTATACCCTGATGCAGGGCGAGACCTAGTTTTTATACGTGAAAATGCCTCCAAGGCAATTGAAGCTAGACAGGACTATGATTCAAAACGATCGTCTGCAGCCAGCGTAAAATGTAAAAGATACGAAGTAGGAGACTATGTGCTCATAAGGAATGTTGATACGACTGTGGGTGTTAACAAAAAATTTATACCCCAATATAAAGGACCGTACGTAGTACACAAGGTATTAGGCAATGACCGCTACGTTATTCGTGACATTGATAATTGTCAGCTAACCCAGCTTCCATACGATGGGGTCATTGAAGCTCACCGCATTCGGAAGTGGGTGAGTAAACCAGATGATGGCGGCATTGGTGGAGAGGATGCAGGGCATGACCCCTTGGCATGAATTAGCTTTAAGTAATTTGGGCACATGATCGAGGGCGATCCATTGCCAGGATTGGCCGAGCTGTAAACACTGTATAAGAGTATATTAAGTATTGCTGAGTGTAAACTAGCTATAAGCATATCAATGTATCTATTTCGATAAGTTGAATAAATACAACTCTGGGGAGGCCATGAAATGAATGATGGAGGCACTTCCGGAAAAACCAGAAACCAAGAGACACGCGAGTTATTATTTATCATCACTTATCTCCATTTTAACAGAAGATCGACCGAGTTTAAACTATTTAAGATTTTTTATTTAACAATAAACAAAAAGTGCAAATTTTTTTTTAAATTTAATTTCTCAAAAAGTGTATTTTTTTTCTCTCAAACTTTTTTACTGGGAAAGAGACACTTTGAACTACAATCAACCCAAATCTCTAATAGCGAAGGTTTTTTTCTGAGTTATGATTTTTTATAGAAAATATACGTTTTTGTGGTATATACTACAATATTCTTATATTGTTTAACTAAATGCTCGTACCTGACCGGTTGTCTGGAAATGGAAAGCATCCTGTATATTTGACACCTAATAAACACAACGCAAACAGCTGTGACAAAGATGAAACAGCAGAAATGACAAAAAGACAAAAAGAGCAAAATAAATGTGCACAAGCAAAAACATTTGTAAAACAACATTATATTATATGAAACAAAGTACTCGGCACATGCTATTAAGAATATCATGTTAAATTAATCAAATTTACAGGAAATTTTGATATTTTACTTATCTTTAAATTGTGCACCAGAAGTTCATTAACACTTTTTTAATTTCATACTTTATTAAGCGTAAACAGCTTTATAAAACACAAAATTTAAGCAGATCACAAAAAAACAGCTTCACAGCTTTGACGCTTGCATAAGCGTGCAACAACAATTTCAAGAAACAAGCAGCAGTGCTGCCAATTGTTTGGCATATTTAAACAAAGTTGATCTGAAGCCCAGCGAAAGTTAAATGGCATTTAAACAACAATCCACAATTAAACTTAAGTGCCACTTATATATTCATTTGAAATTGGCCCTTAATGTCATAAGGAATTATTAGATAAATATTGTAGAAATTTTGTGGGGAAACATGGGTTATGGTGCAATTCATGGTCCCCACCGAAAATTGATGCAAATTAATCGAAAGGGGTATCAAACGACGCGTATTACTGCCAGTATTAAGAATCCGAAGGCGGAAACTTATTTTTTTTACACCGTTCAAAAGTTATTTCCACAGCACAACTTGTTAGTACTGAAATCCCATTAATAAATGCACGAAATGAGTACATATTAATATCTCGATGTTCAACATAGTTTATTTTACACGAATTTGTAACAAAAAAACACGAAACTTAATGATTTAATGATGTATTATACGGAAAACAACGAATTTAAACCCGGCGTCTTCTTTTAATTCCGCTAGTTGCACGATTGAGAGAATACAAAGGTTGCGCCGATCTCGGACCGCTATTCCTCTCTTAACGAATTTGACGGAATAGTTGTTTGCATGACGTCACACTGGTGCAACTTGTTTACGTTTTCCTTGCAACATTTTTTCTTCTTCTTCCATTCTTGCTCACGTTTTGGCATTTTTCTCTCACAATTGCACCAGTGTGACGTCACACAAAACTTATTCTCAAAAATCCTCTCTGATCGGCGCAATCTTGTATTCTATCATTCTTGCGCTAGTTGTAATAAAAACACGGTGCTTGGTCACGGTGCAGCGAACAAAGGTGGTGCCGTCAGTGATACCGCTACTTTGGTTTTGCCGATTTTGACAGTTGTGGTAACTTGTAAATAAACCTTTGTTTACAAATCAGCGAAAGAGAAATATGAATTATTAGTGAAAAATCAGTTTAAATTGTGTTAATTTGCAATTTGTGAGTGATTTTTGAGTTGAAGACTGCGTAAAAACTAATACAATGAAGTGATGTGTGTTAAATTGCGACAGCTGTCAAGATGCAAGAAGCGTAGATGCAAGTGTAGCGCTGGGACGAACCGCTGCATTTTGTGTACATAGGGCACGGCAAAGCCGTTCCGAAATGTTTCTCTATTATTATATTAACAGCATTTCCTCACAATGATTTTATTTCTGCGCCACGCAGCCTCCATTAGCAAGTTAACTAATCAATCCCGCAGAGATGCTGCTGCAGTTTTCTGCAGCAGCCTTAATTGCAAAGCAATGGAGTGCACTAAACCGTTTGCTGAAGCAGCCTCAATTGCAAAGCAATGGAGTGCACTAAAATGTTCAATGTTCTCTAATAGATTAGGTGAAAAATGCAATATTTTCGTATTTAGCAAAATTAAAACACGTTTTTCGCTGTAAAGTGAACTGCTTTGGCAGTTTTAACTCGTTCTTCTTTTCGCTCTATTCTTTGTTTACTTGTGGTACACAAATATCAACGCCCAGGACGGCGCAATCTTGTATTCTATCATTCTTGGTGCTTGGTGTTGCCCAGTGTTGCCACAAAAAATTACCAAATTCCTCAAAAACAAATGAAAAATCCTCAAAATCCCAACAAATTACTCAAAATTTTCTTATTACAGATATGAGTAATGAGTATTTACAGGTACTTGTATAAAAATTAATTACATTCTCCAATTCAATTGGTACATTTGTTCTTTTTTATGCCTTGGTTTCTATATAATATTGTTGCAATTATATCAGTGCTCAATCTGGTCCTCAAGTTAAGCCTACACATTTTTAAACTATTAAATATAAGTTCTACTGAAGCATTAGAAAAGGGATATATTAGTAATGTAGATATAATTTTTTTTAATTAGGAAACTTATATGAACCTGAAGAATCTTTTAATTAAAAAATTTTGTTCCTATAATTTTCTGGATCTAATGAACAATCAATATGAATATCCTTATGATCGAACAATGCGTGTTTTCTCCATTCGTTACCGAGATTTTGAAAGTTCAAAATAAGTTGAAAATATAACGAGGGAATAAAAAAAAATATCGATAACATTTTAAATATTTAGCAACAAATGCAGATTTGCTAAAGGGCGAAAAACACCACACACGCGGCTTGACAAACCAAGCGAAATATCCCTTTGTTTAAAGCTATTTAAGTTGTGTATGGGGGTTTTTGAAGGTTTGACAAGCCGTTTGAGTGAAATGTGAACAAAAATCTAAATTTTTTGATTTTCGGGCCGCCATGTTGACCTTTGATCAAACCGCTTACGTTGTGTATGATAAAATCGTCTCATTCGCAACGGGATTTTTACCGAATGCGGACGCAAGAGAGAAAAATCGAAGAAAACCAAAGCATTTTACAATGTGAACCGGAAGAAAACTAAAATTCTTTGCTTGAACGACTCATGTTTGCATGGTGTATGGCGAAATGGGAAAGAAGAATGTTTGACAAGCCGCTTGTGTGTTGTATTTCGCTCTTTATAAAACTTCGGAAAGTTTTTTGTTCAAAAATTTACAGAGCGATTTAACAATTGGCATGTGTAAAACATGGTTGCATTTGTTATCTGCAAATATATCGAGAGAAAATTCCTCAAAAATTCCTCAAAATAAAAATCCTCAAAAAATACTCCAGCGAACCCGAAACTCCTCACGTTTTGAGGAATTACTCACAAAGTGGCAACACTGGGAGCAGGGATGCCAACAAAAAACATGCAAGATTTTGCTTTTTACGTAATCTCGACTGACCATTTCTGGCGATTTTTTTTACAGTATTACTTTATAATTACGAATTCCCTGTGTATTTTGGTGCGCCAAATGATTATTTTATCAGTAGCCATAATAGACATCACAGGGGCGGTAGCCCCAGTTGGTGCACACCAAAATGAGAATTCTATTTGGTAAGGGTTATAATCCTAAAGCGCGGCCGAAGGCCGCCTACGCAGAAACAAATTCTACGCAAAAATACTATGGACGAAGCAAAAATAGACATACGCATATTAAACGAAAGGGAAATTAATTTTCTTTATAACAAAAGAACGACAACACTATCATAATAAGGCTAGTTTTGAAAAAAGCAGTTTAAATGGAATTTTTTCATATATTTTTTATAAAAACCAATTTTTATCAGAAATTAGAAATGCAAGGCACAAGGAATGCAAACCAAAAGAAAGGTGTATTAATGTCCTTTAAAACTATATATTAACTTTTGCAAACGCTTTACTAGTTTTTGAGATATTACGGTTTTTCGAAAAGCAATTTCGATTTTTGACCTTCGATATCTCGCTTAATTTTAATTTCTGCAAGTTAATATTAGTACCGTTATAATCAGATCAAAAAGCTCTATCGACTCCTATTTTTAGTTTTTTTTTCTAGCGAAGCGATGGGGTACGGAAAATATAAACGCAATCTAAATTTAATTACATTTCTTTATTTGTAAATACTTAAAATCTTTTACATTCATTGTTATTGGCACCTCTAAATAAAACCTTTTCTAGTAGTAATGGCTGCATTTCTTTATTCATTCTGAATGTTTGGAATAAACTTGTTTGTTTA